GGGCTTCCACATAAGAGTTTTTTGAAAATCTGCATGTTAATGGCAGTTCCACTGAAGATGGTGAATCACAAAGCCATGATTATGTTATGAACAAAGTATTAATGTTATGAACAAAGTATCAGATGAAAGAGTGCTTGCCTAGCATGCACTAAGAACTGGATTCAATTCCTACCACTGGAAAAAAAAAAAGAAATTCAGGATTTTGTAAGAACACACTATAATTATGATGCAGATACCTTGACCACAAAGTTTATTATTTCATAACACATGATTATTTATTTATTTATTTATTTATTTATTTATTGGTATTGGGAGATTGAACCCAGGGACATTTTACCAGTGAGCTACATCCCCATTCCTGAGAATGGCCTCAAATTTGCAATCCTCCTGCTTTAGCCTTCAGAGTTGCTGGGATTACCGGCATGTACCACCTATCACATGTTTTCAGTTTAAAAAGTTAATATTGGGCTGGGGTTATGGCTCAGCAGTAGAGCGCTTGCCTTGCACATGCAAGGCCCTGGGTTCGATCCTCAGTACCACATAAAAATAAAAATAAATAAATAAATAAATAAAGTTAATATTACTACTAAAATTTTAAAATTATATAAATTCTATTATCTTTATTATGGTAAACCATAGTCTTTCCTTCTCCCCCTCCCCCCACATAGGATTGAACCCAGGATCTCACACATGTGAGACAAGCACTCTATTACTGAGTTACATGCCCATGGCAAACCCATTTTTTATTTATTTAGAACTGTAATATGCAGATGTGCCCAAGTTTTACTACATATCCCTGGATAGAATTGCCAGGTTTAGCCAATAAATCTCACAGGACAGATCAATTTTATTTTAGGATTAACAACAAATAATTATTTAGTTTTTTTTGTTTTTCATTTGTTACAACTTCTTTTAATTTACCTATACCTCCTCCTTCCAGTGTTGCTCAGAGAGGCTAACTGAGAAAAGGGGTTGCCTTTCTTTTGTTTGTTTGTTTGTTCTTTTTAGTTATACATGACAGTAGAATGTACTTTGGCATCTCAAACATACATGGAGTATAACTTTCTTTCTTGTGGTTGTACACTGGTTGTGTACTCACATATGAACATAGGAAAGGAATGTCCGATTCATTCCACTGTCTTTCCCATTCCCATCTCCCTTCCCTTCTCCCCACTCCCTCTTGTCCATTCCAGAGAACTTCCCCCCTCCCACCTGTTGTGAGTCAGCATTCACATATCAGAGAGAACATTTGGCTTTTGGTTTGGGGGGATTAGTTTATTTCACTTAGCATAATAGTCTCCAGTTCTATCAATTTACCAGCAAATGTCATAATTTCATTTTTTTATGCCTGAGTAATATTGTGTATATGTACCACTGTTTAGTATGTTTTGAATGTTGCATAGGACAATTTGCACTAAAGAATTTTTATATTTTAATCTGACAACTCTACTTTTGGAGGATAAAATTTTAAGGAACACCAATTTAAGCTATTTGGGGGAGAAAAAAACAGAATCAGGAAATCCACTAGATCCCACCTCTCGACCAAAACATGTGCATCAATTGTAAGAGACTTATCACTGCAAAGAATGTCAGAACCAAAGTTAAAAGAGATAAGAAAAAGGATTTTTAAAAAGAAAGAAAAAGGGCTGGGGATGTTACTCAGTTACTCATGCTTGTCTGGGCATGCATTGAGACCCTGGGTTCAATCCTTAACATCACAAATAAATAAATAAGAAAACAATGAAAAAGGAGATTTAAAAAAAAATGGCAATGAGGAAAAGAATACCTAAAAAAAAAAAAAAAGCCTAGTTTAGATTATGGAAGAAGGTAAGAGATAACCTAGCAAGAATCAGACAATAGAAGGCAAAGGAATTTCAAGATAAAATAGTTTGGGCAACAACACCATATATTCAGAGAAACTAAGGAAAATCAGGATAGATAAGTAAATATAAGAACTGAAAATCAGATGCTATTGGGTAAATAAGTAGAGGCTGCTGGTTATAATAGATCAGTTTTGCAAGAGGCATGACAATGAATAGCAAGTAATTAAATGATATCTGGGGGTAGAGATAGGGTGAGGTAGAAACAGTAAACTATGTCTATAGACTGAGCTTTTTTTTTTTTTTAAAGACAGAGAGAGAGAGAGAGAGAGAGAGAGAGAATTTTTTAATATTTATTTTTTAGTTTTCAGCGGACACAACATCTTTGTATGTGGTGCTGAGGATCGAACCCGGGCCACACGCACGCCAGGCAAGCACGCTACCGCTTGAGCCACATCCCCAGCCCTAGACTGAGCTTGTAGAAAGGGACAAATTAAAAATGCAAGACACTGGACATAGTGGTACACACCTGTAATCCCAGCAGTTTGGAAGCTTGAGGCAGGAGGATTTCAAATTCAAGGTCAGCCTCAACAATTTAGCAAGGCCCTAAGCAAGTTTACAAAAAAAAAAAAAAATATATATATATATATTTTTTTTTGTACTGAATATTGAGCCCAGGGATGTGCTGAATCACTGAGCCACATCCACTGCCCTTTTTTGTATTTTACTTTTTAGAGACAGGGTCTCACAGAGTTGCTAAATGCCTCACTAAATTGTTCAGGCTGGCTTTGAACTCCCAATCCTCCTGCCTTGCCCTCCCCAGCTGCTAGGATTAAAGGCATGCAGGACCACGACTGGCTCAAAATAAAAAATTTTATAAAGGGCTGGGAATGTAGCTTGGTGCTAAAGCACCTCTGGGTTCAATCCCCAATACAAAAATAATAATTATAATAAATAAATATGCAAGAATATGTATGTGTCTGCCGGGCATGATGTATGTGTCTGAGAAGACAAGGGAGACGAGGAGATAAGATTATGACTACGTTTACCCTCAGAAAACCAAGGCAATTTTTTTACTAATTAAATATAGACATTTTGAAGTGGAGGAAAAGAAAGTTTAACTCACCTGTGATGACTTTGGTTCTCAAAGAGTTGGTGAAACTTCTGGTGAGAATAATGTAGAAATGGAGTTGGGTGCAGCTCTAGAGTTGAGGAAATTCAATGTGGGAAATCAACTAGGTATGAATAAAAGGCCAAGATGGTCAAATGCTCCCAAAGTTAAAAGGCATACACGTTCATGAAACTGTGGAGCATTGTTATTCCTTTCTCTGTCAGTTCTGAGAACTGTGAAAGAGAGCAAACACAGCCATTTTCCCAGAATTGGAGACAAATAGACAAATGAGATCAGTATCTTAGGGATGGAAGGTTCTAGAGCCGCAGGAGCAGCACAGTTTAAAAGTCTTTAGAAGGGGATGAAAGTGGCCTGGGAAACCAGTGAAGACAGAAATTAATGAGCTGAGAAGAAAGGTTTAATTCTGGATGCTGACATTGATAGAAAGCAGGTTCCAAATCAAGAGAGTGGGCTTGGGCTGGAGCATAGCTCAGTTGGTATAGTGCTTGGCTTGCATGCATAGGGCCCTGGGTTCAATCCCCAACACCACACACACACACACACACACACACACAAATATATATATATATATATATATATATATATATATATATATATATATATATATATTATATTATATATTAATAAACCCTATCAAATGGGGAAAGGATAGGTGAAGCAACATGCAAAAAAAAAAATGTACAAACAATAGAGACTCAACATTATTATAATTAGAGAAATACAGTTTTTAAAAAGCAGATATTATTTTTAGCCTATTAGGTAAATGAATATTTCAGAGATTAATAGTGACCTCTAATAATGAAACTACAAAAAAAAAGACATTTTCATGCCTATTTATGGGAGTGTAAATTGTGATAACCTTTTTAGTATTTATCTGGAAGTACCTATTAAAATTCTAAATATGCAGGTCCTATAACCTAGCATTTATAGTTTTAATATTTTGAAAAAAAAATTTTTAAGAGAGAGAATTTAAAAATTTTTTTTTTTAAGTTTTCTGCAGACACAACATATTTGTATATGGTGCTGAGGATCGAACCCGGGCCACACGCATGCCAAGCGAGCGCTACCGCTTGAGCCACATCCCCAGCCCCAATATTTTGAAAAATTTATCCCACAAAAACATCTCCACAAGGCACTGGGGTTGTGATTCAGTAGTAGAGCACTCGCCTAGCATGTGTGAGGCACTGGGTTCAATCCTCAGCACCACATAAAAGAAAATAAAGGCATTGTGTTTAACTACAAATAAATAACAAATATTTAAAATAAATAAGTAAAACAAAGGTATTGTGTCCAACTACAACTAAAAATATAATAATAATTATAACAGCCATGTGCAATGGTGCACACCTCTAATCCCAGTGACTCTGGAGGCTGAAGCAGGAGGATCTCAAATTTGAGACCAGTTTCAGCAACTTAGTAAGGCCCTAAGCAACTTAGCAAGATCCTGTCTCAAAATAAAAAATAAAAGAGCTGGGGATGTGGCTCAGTGATTAAACACTCCTGGGTTCAATCCCTGGAACCCAAAAGTAGAAAATAAATAAAATCCTTTAGAGGGCTAAGATTGTGGCTCAGTGGTAGAGCACTTGCCTAGAACATGAGAGGCACTGGGTTTGATCCTCAGCACCGCATAAAATAAATAAATAAAGTTATTATTCCAGCTACACCTAAAAAAAAGAATAAAAAAACTTTAGAAAACAGTGGTAAATTTTGCATTAGAAATATTTATGAATATGTACAATGACTAAGCTAAGTGAAATCATTTTGACTTTTCTGATCCAAATGTCCCCAGTAAATACTTTTGATGAAAGGTAGCAAAGATTTTAAAGCTTTACTGATCCTGTTGACAAGTAGTTTTCAAATTTGAGCATATATCACATCACATAGAGGAATTGGTTAAAACCCAGACACCAACACCCCTAAGATTTCTTATTCATTAAGGCTGAGATTGGGATCCAAGAATTTGCATTTCTAGCAAGTTCTGAGGTGAGCTATTAATCCAGAGACCCATTGCATAGGCCGAAAGCTGGCTGCTGATCCATCCTCTACCACCCGTGTGATCATGCCTAGAAGGTACTACCTGAGTTATTAACTGTGGCTGTCCTGGCCCTGGCAGAGTTGTGGAATTATTCCTCCACCCATCTAGGCTCCAATTTAATCTAGTGGGATCATTTTCTCACCCACGATGGGAGTGCCTGAAAGTTGATCCTGTTTTAAACTATTTATGAGTTCAACGTAGGAGTCGAAGAGAGAGAGCCACCAACCTCTTTTGCACCAGGGGGTTGATAAAGAGAAGAAAACCTGCCAAGAGATGTGCTTGAGTAGGAGGAGACTGCCCTGGCAACAGCCAAATCCAGCCTAGGACAGCTCTCTCTCAAAAGGTAAATGACGACCCCGTATGCCTTCCTGGTGTTGTTTCCACCTGGGAAAAATCCCAACAATCCCAAGTTTAATGGCATCTTCCTCTGAGCTGGGGCAACATGAGGGAAATGACTGGGAGGAGTAAAGAGCTTTGTTTTGTCATAGCTTTTTTAGAAAAGTGAAACTTGCATCTGAGAGGGATGGTCTTGGCTAGGGTCTCTTTTCAAGGTAAGTTGGGGAAACACCCTGATTAGTCCTATTAGTCAAAGACTGTCTTTGATTTTAGGAATTATAGTAAGATTCATTATTGTGTTTCTTCACCAACTTCTCCCTTTAGGCTAAACTTAGGGCCAGGAGAGAAATGCTGGGTCTTTTAGCTTGGGGGTGTTTAAAAAAAATGATTTGATACTATTTGGTGGAAAGAATGAAGAGATTAGGGAAAAGAACACATGGAAAGGAAGAGGTGATTGATCTTTTTGGAAGTCAAAGAGTAGGTGACTTTGTTAAAGATTCACAAATGCTCTTTTCTGTTTTTTACTTGAGCAGGACCAGATAGTCGTGCCCCACTTTCTTTTCCTCCCACACTAGTCCTGAGCAATGCTGCTACTTGTCTCAAAGAAAACAAGAACTTTAAAGTCACTTTTACAAACATTTCTAGGACAGGTCTTACTTTGAAAAGCAAATTTTGAATCTACCATTTTTGATAGCATATGTGTCAAAAAAAAAAAAAAAAAGCTATTTTAGCCTAAGAAATCTCAAAGAAAAGAAACTGAATATCCAAGCCTCCAATAATTTGTTGTAACTTTTTCCATTCAAAAAAATTGGTTAGCCAGGAGTAGTGGCACAGGCCTGTACTTTCTACTCAGGAGCTTGAGGCAGGAGGATCACAAGGTCAAGGCTAGCCTCAGCAATTTAGCAAGACCCTGTCTCAAAATAAAAAATAAAAAAGTACTAGCAGTAGATCACTCACCTAGAATGTATGAGGCCTTGGGTTCTATCCTCAGCACCACATAAAAGAAATAAAGGTATTGTGTCCAACTGCAATAAAAAAAAAAAAACATAAAATATTTTTTTAAAAAAAGGAGTAGGGAAGTAGCTCAGTGGTAAAGCTCTCCTTGGTTCAATCCCCTATCCCAAAATAATAATAATAATAATAAATACAAAAATTGTTTACCAAATTTTGTATTCAAAATCTTGTACTGTTTTTCTTAAAGAGAAATTTATAAACTTAGGTTCCATAAAACCTGGATCCACGCATATGAAAAGAGCCAAGATTATACATGGTATATTTAGGACAAAACAACATTATCTTTTTTTATTCTCTTCCCACCCGCCACAGCCCCAGTAAAAATGCATTTTACTTTTGGAGGGAGAGGGAGGAAAGTTCTGATCCTAATTGGAGCAAAAGTAGCCTGTTGGAATTTGGCAGCTATGAGTGAAAAGTCTGAATCAGTACAGGACCTTTGATTCAAGGTTCAGAAATTCAGATTTAATTAGATAAAGAGAAAAAGAACCAAAGGTGACTTGATGCTTTCCAACTTCCAGATATTGAACGTTTTCAATCTCCCGGGAGCATTATCGTTATCAGCAAACCCTCTCCAAATTCTCTTATGGTTTCAATTCCTCAACCCTACACGCTCCAGTCTCTCCTACTTGTAACTACTCCATCTGTGGCTTTTTGACCTCTTTCCTCCACCGTAAATGCAGATATTTTATTGTCGCTAATTTTCCTTTGATCTTCTTATCTACTATGATTTCAATTATCCTGTAGTTGGGTGACTCTCAATTCCAAAGATCTTGTTTTTCCTCCTAAATTTCAGTCCTGCATTTCTGCCTTTCTGAGCATGTTTTGTCATTACCTTTAAATTAACCTATTCCCCCAAAACAGAATTCACTGTGGTATATTAAAATATCTGCTATCCTTAAAATAAATAATTCTATGAATGTCAAAATTTTTCTTTCAGTTTTCCAAATTCAAGTCCCAGTATTTCTTTAGCACTTCTGTCTTCCCACTATATGTCCATTTAATTCCTAAGTGATTGCAAATCTTTTCACAACCTCGTATCCATATCCATGCCTCCTTTCTGTTATCTGGTCCCCTAACCTTTGTTTCCTCTTGACACTGCTACAACGCCTCCCTGTTGTTTTCCCCTGTTGTGCTATTTTATATTTCCAGTACCTTTTACGCACTCTTGTCAGTTATCTTCCTAAAGTACGGCTTTGATTAATTTATTTTCCTTCATTCAACAAGCATGAATCGAACACACACAACATGCCAAGTACTGATATGAATATTAATTCACTCATGTGTGTGAATTAAATATCCACAGAGTGCCAGCCTTTCCCTACACACTGAAGCTATACCATGAATAGAACAGACTCCTAGAGCTTACATTACAGTTAGTGCTATACACAACAATTATGGCCTCTCCTCTCAAAGTGTTTTATCTGCTCAAAAACCTTCAATGGTTCCCCCGTGTCTGAAAGAATAAAATTTCAATTCATTACCCTAAATTTCAAGTCTCAAGATTTTCAGTAATTTAAATATAACTATCAAGGACTTATTGATGATTCTTTAATAATTTCTCAGAGGATATGGTATTTCTATTACTTTAGTTTTTTTCCACTGAAGATTTTCTAGTGTACCCCTATCCCTTTTATAATTCAGTGTCCACAGGTAGGGAATGGAGGGACACAGTTCTAATCCCAGCTACTTGAGAGGCTGAGGCAGTAGGATAGAAAATTTGAGGCCAGCCTTAAATTTTTAAAAATATTTTCAATTGTAGATAGACACAATAACTTTATTTTGTTTAGTTTTTTTTTTCTTTTAACATGGTGCTGAGGATAAAACCGAGTGCTCACACATGCTAAACAAACGTTCTACCACTGAGCCACAATCCTAACCCTCAGCCTCAAATTTGAGGCCAGCCTCAGTAATTCAGTGAGACACTGTCTTAAAATTAAAAAAAATTAAAATAAAAAAACTGGGAGTGTTGCTCATTGGTAGAGTATTTGCATAGAATGGGTTCAATTACCAATACTGCAAAAAATAAAATATAATGTGCTATTCCATATGAAATATGAGGCCCATGGAAACTCAAGACTATTCATCTATGTGCTAAACATTTTCCCTGGGAATGAGTACTGGTGATTGAACCAAAGAGTTCTTTATCACCGAGCTATATCCTCAGTCCTTTTTGTCTTTTACTTTGAGACAGGGTCTTACTAAGTTGCTTTGGCTGGCCTTGAACTTGTAGTCCTCCTGCCTTTGAGTCCTGATTTGTTAGGATTACAGTTGTGTACCACTGAACCTGGCTAGCTGCTTCTATTGCTTATGATAGGACCATTGTTACTGAAGTGAGGTGATAGATACCTCATTCCTCATTGTGCATTTGATTTGCATTTCCCAGATGATTAGTAGTGTTGAGCATTTTTTTCCATATACTTGTTGGCCATTAGTATGTCTTCTTTTGAGAAATGTCTATTTAGGTCTTTTGCCCATTTATAAATTGGATTTTTTAAAAAAATTTTTGCTATTTAGTCTTTGGAATGCCTTCTTCATTATGTATATTAACCTCTTGTCAGATGTATAGTTTGCAAATATTTTCTCCCATTCTGTAGGTTGTCTGTTCACTTTGTTGATTGTTTCCTTTGCTGAGCAGAAGCTTTTTAGTTTGATGTAATCTCATCTCCATTATCTATTTTTGCTTTTGTTTCCTGTGATTTGGGGGTTTTGTTTAAAAAGTCCTTGTCTATTCCAATGTTCAGAAATGTTTCCATTATGTTTCCTGCTAGCAGTTTCATAGTTTCAAGTATCACATTTAAATCTTTAATCCATTTTGAGTTGATTTTTATAACTGGTAAGAAAATAAGGGTCTAGTCTTACTCTTCTCCATGTAGATATCCAATTTTCCCAACACCATTTATTGAGAAGACTGTCCTTTCTCCAAGGCATGTTCTTAGCACCTTTGTCAAAAATCAGTTGCAGCTCAGGAGACTGAGACAAGAGGATCACAAGTTCAAAGCCAGCCTCAGCAACTCAGTAGAGTACTAAATAACTGAGTGAGATCCTGTCTCAAACTTAAAAAAAAAAAAAAAAAAAAAAAAGCTGGGGATGTAGCTCAGTGGTGAATGGCCCCAGGTTAAATCCCTAATACAAAAGAAAAAACAAAAAACTGTTGGCTGTTGACATGTGAATTTACTTCTAGCTCTGCTTTGTTCCAATGGTTTATGTGTCTTTCCATGCCAAAACTGCGCTGTCTTAATTACTTCACCTTTGTGGTATATTTTGAAATCAGATAGTGGAATGCTTCCTGCTTGGTTCTTTTTCATCAAGATTGCTTTGACCTAAACTGGGCATGGTGGTGCACGCCTGTAATCCCAGTAGCTCAGGAGGCCAAAGCAAGAGGAGCCCGAGTTCAAAGCCAGCCTCACCAACAGCAAGGTGCTAAGTAACGCAGTGAGATAGGGCTGGGGATGTGGCTCAATGGTTGAGTGCCCATGAGTTCAATCCCTGGTACAAAAAAAAGAAAAATTCTTTGACATTTTTTTGTTTTGTGATTGTCATTCCATACAAATTTTAGGATTGTTTTTTCTACTTCTGTGAAGAAAGTTATTGGTATTTTGATATGGATTAAATTGAATCTGCAGATTACTTTGGGTAGTATAGATAACTTAACAATATTGAAAGCTGGACATGGTGGTGTAATCCCATAATCCCAGCTATTCTGTAGGCTGAGATAGGATGATTGCAACTTCAAGGCCAGTCTGGGCAATTTATGTGAGACTCTGCCCCAAAATTTTAAAATAATGATATTGATTATTCTAATCCACGAACACAGGATATCTTTCTACTTTTCATATCCTCCTCAATTTCTTTCATCAATGTTTTATAGTTTTCTTCATAGCAATCTTTCCCCTCTTAATAATTGAGAATAGGGCTGGGGATGTAGCTCAAGTGGTAATGCGCTTGCCTGGCATGCGTATGGCCTGGGTTCGATCCTCAGCACCACATACAAAT